CGAAGGAAGGGATCGGTCGTAGACTTTGCGTAGCCCCACTTCAGAAATTCCCTACTTCAGAACTCGAACGATTCGCCCAGGCTAAAGCCAAAACATCGGCGCTTCTCATGAATTCAATTACTCACGCTCTCTTTCAAAGTTCGAGCGCTACCCAAACGAAGTGACAGCGGCGTGACAGACAGGTGAATTGGGACGTGGCCGCATGTGTGAGTGTGCGTGTGTGTGTCTGTGTGGGTATGACTGAGTGTCAACTCCTCCTCTATCTCTCTTTCTAACCACTCTCACACTTAACTACGTCTCTACACATTCAACTAACTTAATCCATCTTGTTCTCACTATTTACTACCCAAGTACTCGATTTTTTGTCTTTGTCCCTGTCTATCTCAGGAATTTTCACCCATCCAGGAAAAAACCGTGCAGAAATGTTACCGCTTGACGTCATACACGGAACCTGGTGTTCTCGCTCGTTGAAGAGGGGGAAACCGTTGGTTTCGCTGTGATTCAACGAGTTGTCCGTCCGTCACCTGCGTCGCAGTTCCATGATGTGGCGGTTCGAAATCACGGCTGTCACACCGCATTTCATGCCGTCTAACATCGCATCAAGCGTCTTCTCCTTGTATGGTTTCGCATTGTCTGGGAACAGTCCAGAGCCCGCTGGAATTCCCAAACGACTTCCTCTTCCTCTCAGATCGACATTTTGACAAACAGGACTCATTGAAGCATATCCTTTGAGGAAATTCTTCAGCACCTCTTTTTTGGCCCTTTTTTCTCGCCTCCAATAAACTCTCCATGAATCTTTTAGTGCCTTCATTTTTGAGTTCATCTATCCTCCTGAGAATGGGGCCATCCTATAGCCTAAACAATTCCAACACCTTCATCATCCCTTCTCACAACAATATCCCCGATCCCTACAATTATGCCCAGATCCCAATATCAAGACTAACGCGGGCGGGACAGGGAAACAACAGCAGCATTTCATCTGCTGGGCACACGTTCGTTCATGGAGACGCTGATTTCGTTAGTGGATTCTGCGGGGCTACACAATGGCACACAAGGGCTCTCTGTTGTCCAGTGGTGGCAAGAGCACATGCTGCCTGCTCTAGAAGAGTCTTTCCTTTGGTCAGCCGGCTGGTTAACTGGCTGGTTAGCCACTGGTCCCTCGCTTTTCAACGCTTCGCCGGCCACTACACTAATCCTGCGGTTCTAATGAGTGTTGGGCTTCTTAAGTGAGCACCCACCAGGTCTGGGCATCGATTAGTAAATATCAAGCTGAATTTGCGTTACTCTGTGATAATTGCCCTCAGGAAGCAGGAAGTGTGCATGGTGCGTGGTGCGTGTTCTCCTACTCGTTCCAGCCACTTGGAGAGAGAGAACTCTTAGAGACCTCTCATAATGTGGGGACTTCTGCTGCATTGTGAGAATCAATATATCCCCTTTGAAGTGGTCACTGCAATACCTTCGTCCACTGTTCGGACCTAACGTCATCAAACAGCTCCAACAAAGCCGGGGGACAGAAAGGGCTACGAAAAAAGTGCCCATCTGGGAATAAGGACCCTATTCCATTCAAAAAGTGCATGGGACTGGATTCAGGGGTATTCCATCTGCTTAGAAATTCCGCATTCCTGAAAGCTTCCACATAAATGAAGATAGGAAGGTGGTAGAAGTTTGAGAAAGGGGAACGAAGATGCCGCCGTTAGAAACGTCTCCATGAAAGCAAGTGGCCGAATACGGGCCCAGATGATGTGCTGCGTCTGCGTTCTCCCATCGATCTCATGGTTGTCAGCTCGCCCTCGACCAACTCTCGTCACCTCGTCCATTTCAGCCTCCTCTGTCGTCGTCGCCCGCCCTCAGGGCTCTTAGGTGCTCGTCGCAAATCATAATCACTTCTCGTTCGCGTCGTTCTTTAATCGTTCACATTCGTCCTTTCCTTTTTTACTTGCATTTTAATATTTAACTTTTATTCGGGGTTTTGTAGGGAATTGGGATCCCTGTGGGTAACTCTTCAACGACAACTTTTTGACCTCAGAAATCCGTTCGGATTTAACCCACAACCAAGCTTTTGGTCCTTGGAATATCATACAGTCGTCGCCAAAT